TGAAAGTTAGATGCAGGGAGGGGATACCTGAAGATAAGGGTCAGGAGACAGTGTACAGGACACTTCAAGGACCAGGCACACTCAGCATGCTTAAGAGCTGGTGACTTTGTGGCATTAGTGATGTATTAACAAGTGCTTGGACCCAAGCTGTGTGCAGCAAGTAGCAGGGGGCCACTGTTGGGTGAGGCACCCTGCCTTCAACAGGGGCACATCCCCATTCAGGGGGCTCTTGGGCAACGGGAAGAGGCTGAAGCCAGAGAGGGTGAATCGGGGAAGACTTCCTGGAGGACACAGGCAGGAGGGAAGTGACAGCTAGAGACTTGGAAGTTGTGAAGCAGGAGCTGGCACCTGAGAGGCCAGGATACTGAGAAAGGGAAGAGCTAAAGGGGCAAGCCAGAGGACAGGAGACTCTGGGATGAAAGGGCAGGTGACATTCTCCTCTACAAAGAGAACACTTCATGGCTCCCCAGTCCAGGCCTCTCCTATGGGCCTCTTCCTCTGCTGCCTTTCCTTGGGCTCTGGAGTGAGGAGGTGACTCCCTGATGCACTGCTGTGTTCTCTATGACCTTGGCAGTTCATTTGGAAATTGGAGAGAATACTGCCTCATTCATGGGGCCTCCAGGATGAACCAGGATGGTCCCCAACAAGGGCAAGGGACCCCATACTCCTGCCCCGAGATTCCTCACCCCACATCCATGACTGACTCAGGTCTGCCCCAGTCCTCAGCAGAGCAGCATACCCCAACACTATTTCTGCACTGCCCATGTGTCTGGGTGCCCTTAAGGCCTGGTTCCATCTGACTTCTCATGGGGCACCTGGAACCTAGCAGAGGGCCTGGTTTGGAATGCACAAATGAGGCGGGAGAGAAGGGCCAGAGTCCAGAGACTGCCTTACCCGCTTTCTGCTCTCCAAGTTGGCAGGTGCAGTTGTTCAAAGTGGTCTGCCTCCGGGGTGATGGGAGAGGTGGGCCACAAACACTGCATTGGTGGGGTATTGCCTGGGACTTGCAAGGTGCCTGGGGGTGGGTCTGCCTGCAGCCAGGTTTGGTTTGGGAAGCAGTTTCCTTTCCTCTGGGGAACAGACCTCCAACCCCCTAACCCTAAGCAGAGGCTCCTGAGTCTTGGTTTCTGAGACTAGAGCAGGTTACCTTCATATGTTGTGTGTGCTGTTTGTGCACAGGTGTAACATATGCATGTGCCTGTATGTCTGAAGGCTGGGGTGGGGGCGGGGGGTGTTGTTCCCATTCACCTCCTATGGGATTCTGCTCAATGTTTGTGCTGGCCCCAAAGAGCTCTGGTGAGTGGCCCAACTCAGCCCGCCCACCAGGCAGCAGTGCTGCCCATGCCTGGCCGTGTTGGGTGTGTGTCTGGCTCCCCAGTGTTGGCCCCTCCTAGGGATTTGGGCAGCCTGGCCCAGCCCTGCTGTCCCTCCCTCCTTCCTTCCCAGCCAGGCAGGCGGGTGTGGGGGCTGCTTGGCGCGCTTGCCTCTGGCTGAGGCCCAGGTGCAGGCGGTGCTCATAGCCCCATGCACCCCCCACAAGCTGGGCAGACAGGAAAATACCAGACATAGTTGTGCAAAGGTGGCTGCAGGCGGGCAGGCAGCAGGGGGTGGGGGCCACCAATGGAAGCCTGAGCCACCAGGACATGGTGAGGCCATTGTGCCAGGCTGGCCCTGTAGTATATGTCTGTATGAGGGTGCACGTGTGTGCTGGGACTCCCCTAGGCCTGGCATTACCCTCCCAGTTGGCAATGGACGAGGAAGTACATCTGGTGTGGGGCCGGTGAGGGGCACAGGGGAGACAGCCAGCATGCCTTCCAGCTGTAGCTCCCCAGTTACTACATGAGGCACCCCCTGCCCAGGGCTGGAAATGAGAATCATCAGGGTTACTAGTTAGTGGCAAGCAGGGGGACAAGGCTTGACCATTATCGGGATGCTTGAGTTACCAACCAGGAAACTGAACTCAAGAGTGATAGGGACCTGTCTGAGGCTTCACAGCCAGAGATGCCGCAGGGGGCTGCAACCAGGTAGCCTGACTCTGGTCTTGCTTTAAGAACATGAACACGCAGCATTCAGGGTTCCTGGCACACACTATCTTCAGGTGCTACTTAGCTGGGCACTTCCCTGAAGCCCCCATTACAGAGGACAGAGTTCAGATTTGGCTGGGCCACCTGGGTACCCCTTGTATCCCCATTGGGGTGGGCTGCTGGCTAGGTACCCTTGTGGGATAGGGAGGGGCTGTCTGCAGAGTCAGAGGTTTCCCAGGGAAGGCTAACCCCAGGGCCTTCCAGGAAGTGCTGCCTTCTCTGGCCCCTCTCCTGGGACTTGCTGGGCCAGGCCTCTGGACAAGCCCCTCCCTTAGGCCTGGGAGGAGGTCTGTCTCTGGCTAATCCAGGCTTTCAGTACTCAGGCTCTGGAAGGTGGCTAGGGCCTGCTGTGGTCACTCCACAGGACAGCAGAGGCCCAAGGCTTTCTTGAGGGGTAAAGATCAACCAGTAGTTTTGGCAAAGCCAAGATTCTCCCAGGTTAGGTTCTCCCCGCAATTGTCTGTGGGTATAGAGCCGAGAGCCAGTCCTGCTTTGAGCACCTTACAGCTCTAGACTGCCAAAGGCTGGGTACTCAGCAGTGGTGACAATTCATATGACAAGTTTTACTAAGTACCTACTATGTGATTGGCCCTGTTCTAGGTGCTGAACATGTAATACTAATGAGAAGCACCAAGTCAGGATTGGATATGTAGCATTACCTTGCTTTCTCCCCAAACCTCAGGTGGGATCCTGTTACTTTTATCATTCCACTTTATCCATGAGGATGGAGAGGCTCAGGTGACATGGGCAGGAAGTAGCAAGGCCAGGTTTGGGCCCCAGGTGGTCTGCTCCATATTTGGAGCCATGGCCTTCTGCCTGTCAGAAAGGGAGGCCCTGCCCCTGCCTTCCAGCCCAGGTGGCTGGGCAGCCTACTAGGGTGGAGCTCTTGGCTAGAGCAGGGAGCCACAGCCAGTTCCCAGGAATGTGGGGCTGTGGGGCCGTTTGCTTTGGCAGCATCTCTGCCTCCAGTGGGCCTCCCCACCCAGGTCTGCTCCCCCTGGTGCCCACCCACTGCCTTCCCTGCCGCCCCTTCTCCCAGGCTCTGCACTGAGACCCCACAAACCCCTTGGGAGGGGGTGCCTGGCCTAAGCTCTTGGGTCTACTTCTTCCCACATCCATGAGCACAGGAGAAAGTTTTGTCACTGACAAGCCACGTGACCCTGGACAGGCCACTTAAGTTTCTCTGAGCCTCAGTTTTTGCATCCAAGAACTGGGGATGAAACAGCACCTGCTGTAACAGGTGCCTCCCCTCTGGCCTTCCATTTAAACATCTGTTAAGAACAAGGTGCCCAAGCTGGACTTGCCACAGCTGACCAAAGGGGCAGTATCAGGACTATCCCAGGAATAAGGGGTACCCCTCAAGTTGCGCTTGGCAACACTGATACACTGGTGGTCACTCACCTGACCTACGCTGCTGGAGGGTGAGTAGGGAGGTTGCCCTAGTTTAACAGAGGGCTCTGTCCTCTCTGTTTCTGCCAAGGAAACTAGTCAACTTAGGCTGTTTGTCAGTTCATAGTTCCTCATCTGTCACGCCCCACTCTGTCCAGTACAAATAACCCCCAACCCACCCTGCACTTCTGCCCCTCTAGGCTCAGGGCAGGAGGGACTTTATCCAGAGCCAGTTCTAGCAGTCTTCTGTTAGCCTGGTGACCTTGAGCCTCAGTTTCCCCACCAGGGTCGGGGCCTGCGGTTGGGAGGGTGGGGATAGAAGCACCCAGACCCGCCCTCTGGGGGTGGCAGTAGGGTTTACCGGGCCTGGCGTTGCAGCTGGGGGCCGCTGCAGCTGGGGGCCGTCTGCTCAGGACTGCCGCGGGGCGCACAATAGCAGCCATTGTCTCGGCCCGGCCAGCGGGGGGCCCGCCCAGCCCACCCTCCGGGTGACCCCCGCCCCAGGGTGGGGGAGGGCC